AAGGAAGTAATCTGCTTTTCCCCAACAAGATGGCCCAAATCTCATGTGAAGTCTCTGACTTTTGTGTTTGCGCCTCCTGGTGGACTATGTGTAAAATGCCAGAATTCATATGATGCTGCTACAGCTGATATATATTTGTTGTCAAAATACCTTTTAGTACATATGTTATTAAAATAAAATGAATAGTCCAATGATCATTTTACTGATATGTATAAAGACTGCAAAGGCTGAAAAATCTTGAAGTCTGTATGAAATTGGATGTAGTTTGAGGATTATTTTTTTATGCTTTTTAAGCTCAAAGAAGGGGGGGTCGTATTATACATGAGATCGTATTATACACGAATAAATACGGTATTTCTTACATAAACACTGTAGAAACATCCAATTTTACAAATATTTGTCTGCTGCTCAGGGTTCAAGAATTTTTAAGTCCAAAACGTTTTCACACAGCGACTGTGAGTGATATATGCAGGTGACTGGTTAGCTTGGTGACCTTAATGCACCACTGGCAGCAGCCTTAGCAGCTTTCCTGATTTGCGTCTATTTTACGGTTCTTACATTAAAACATTGTCATTTCTTTAGCTCAGATCATTACAAACTCATGTTGGAGTTTTCCAGCCGATGAAACTGTCTGTGTTCCTCTCTTCTCCAGGTGTTCTTCGCGTCGGTGCGTTCAGGAGGCAGCAGCCAAGTCTTCTTCATGACGCTCAACAGAAACTCCATGATGAACTGGTGACGTGTCTCCTCGTCCCGCCTGCCTCACTCTTCTAACAGTCAGAAGACCTTCCGTTGGCCCACCGAACGTCAAACAAAATGGACACGACCGACCGAGAGACTAATACAGAGTAGAAGAAGATTCTAGATTAGGCCGGGTAATGCATAGGCCGTCGGATGACTGGCGCTGACGTTCCAGATACTCTCTTCTTCCATCGTGGTGTGGAACACTTCCTGTTCTGTAGCTTCGTGTTGTTCCAGTTCTCCTTCTCATGTGTGGGAACTGGAGAAGCAGCACTTTTGGAGTGTTCTGGACATTTAAACCTACTAAACAGCAAGATCTGAATCTGCTGCTCTGCTTCTCCACATCTCCTCCTCGCACCGACTAAACTCAACAGAGATGCTCTCTTCTGTCCAGTGGAACAGTATGCAAACCTTCGTCCCTTTAAACAAAAACAAATAAAAAATCACTGTTCCGTCATGTATTTGTTCTTAAGCTGGAAACATACTCGCTCTGACGCCGACGGGTCGACGTGCGGTCACGTGGTTGTTAGGCAGTCGTTTTTGCACAGACCTTTCACAGTCCCTACGACACCCTGCGCCGAGCTTGGGGAAACCCCCCCTCCTGCTGAAACATACGTCACTGTATGGAATTTCTCCCCGCAACAGCAATGCAGCAAAAAAGTCACTCACCCGACGGATTTATCCACATCTGTCCTGTTTAAAAAACTCCACAGTTTTTATCAGTCAGATTCCTCCGTGCACAAAGTCTGTTTATCTCCATTCATGAGTTTTTCACGGTTTGACCATCTTTATAAAACTCTGCTTCCTGGTCGGCTCGGGGAGCGAGTCGTTTTTTAAAAATTTTTTAACCGAGTGGTTGAAGTAAATGCAGCGCATAGTGCTGTCAGCACAAACACGCATGAGTTTTTCTCGGTTTGTCTATCTTTAAAACTGCTTAAAACAGTCTGCTCTAGTCAGAAGCGAGTTTTTGTTTTTTCCTTCTGTGGTGTCCATCCGAGCACTTTTAGTTCAGACCAATCACACATTACCGTCGACAAGGGAGAGGGGTCAAAAAGTTTTGCCAGGGGGTTGTGCCAAAAGGGGCTGTCGACACGACGCTGCGAAGCCCGGTGACGTAATTTTCGTCATTAAACTGCGACAACCCGTGCCGACGTCGGCAGTTCGGAGCGAGTATGTTTCCAGCTTCATTTTACCTCTTTGTAACTCCTCCTTCATCTTCATCATGATCCCTCTTTAAACTCTGAAGGTGCTGCATCAGTTTTACTGTAATCCTGAACAACCAGAGCGTGGTTCTGTTCACATCTGCTCAGTTCTCCTGCTCCCGCACAACAGCTTGGAGTCGGTCCGTCTTTAAACATACAGCACATTTATGTCTCTGAGAAGGTGTGTGTGTGTGTGTGTGTGTGTGTGTGTGTGTGTGTG